CTCGAAAAGGACGACCTTGAGCGGCGAATTTTCCACCCCCGGCGCCCTGGCGGTATCTCGGGTATCTCAATTTCCACCACTGACATTGGACATTTTTAGGTATCTAAAATCACTCAGGGATCACCGTAATCGACATTTTTGAGGTATCTAATCGGCGTGCAATATATTCGCGTCGCAGCCCCCTTTTACCCCTTTTTCCGCGCCGAATATCAGGCTTTTAATGCCATTAGTCTTATGATAACATGAGCGTCCTTATGATAATGTTCATAAAGAAATAGAGTTCCTCTTACCAAAAGACACCTGGTTTAAATTCTCTATTTATTACCATTCGACAACTACAAGTGCACAAACAAGTTTAAGTACTGTGGTAATAGTCATATAGTAATAATTTGTCTGTAAAGTATTAATTTAGTTTATATCGGAAAAACGAGTTTTAACGTGGTCGATAGTAAACCTGTTTGTTGAAGTAGAATGGTATAGGAGTATTCCGTTTGTTTGAATAACATACACATTGACTTTGAACTAAGGGACAGAGGTCCACATGGGACATGTAGGTCTACGTCGGGGGGGGAAGGGGGGAAACGTCTTCCCTCTTGGACTTCATGACCTACCGAGCGCGACGGAGGGCCTGTCTCCCTCGTGGTTGGCACAGACCTGTAGAGAGGAGGTCTAGCGACCCGACAGCTGAAGAGACTGTGTCGTTCCTCCGAGTACGTGTCTTGGAGTTCCACTTGTTGTGTTGTGTGGTGTGTGTGGTTCAGAGTGAGACAGGTAGCGCGCAAAAGTAAAAGTGGAACCGAGAGTGGTACGAGAGACAGAACGAGAGCAAGACAGACAAACATTACGAGAGCGAGAAAGTTTGTCCCCGTACCACTGGTTGAAAACCGCTGCTGTAGATCACTGCCGGTACGTGCGCTGGGAGCGCACCGTTTAAGTTTGAAAGTTGAAAAGTTTGTGTGTCTGAAACGCTATGTGATACAGTACAGTTTACACAGCACAGTACATGTTCTGTAGCTACTATTGCACTAAATGGTAACACTTGAATACGTTATGCAAATATGCAACTTGTTTGTTGAAATGTTAATAAATGGGAGCTTCCTCAAACAGCCATCTCTTTCCCGACAATCCCCTCTGTGCACGAACCCTTACATATGGTAATTAAACATTGAAACACCTGCGGCTTATAGTCCAGTGCGGCTTATATATGTACACATCATTCAATTTAGCTGCTGCGGCTTATATTCAGGTGCGCCTTATAGTCCGAAAATTACGGTAATATTAATAATGAAGGGTGAGTCATAATGAACATACGATTGTGACACCACTGTATAACAGCTGATTGAGTGAATGACTGACTGACCTTGGGAGAGGGCTGGGGCCGGGGGGCTGGAGGTGTTGTGGGGAGAGCCAGGGTGAGTGATGTTGGCCGGGGGGGAGAGGAAGAGGTGGTGGGGACAGATTCCTGCTGGTTCCTGGTGTGTGATGAAGACGAGCTGTTTTTCTCCGTGGTCGTACTCGGACTGGCTGCTCCGGAAACCGAGTCCGTCTCTGCGTCGGCATCTCGGTCGCATCCCGAGTCCTCGAACACGATGTCGAAGGAAGAAGAGGTGCAGTCGCTGGGGCCTCGGGGGGGACACAGCTCGAAGGAGTTGGGGGTGTCCGAGGCGTCGGGGTCGGCCTGGCTGTCTCTCTCCGACGTCAGGGTGTCGTGTCCCAGCATCGGGTGGAAGGACAGGTCTCCGTCGTCGGTGCTGCTGGAGAGCATGGCCTGAGAGGAAGAGACCTCCAAAGCGTCTCCTGCAGGGCCCGGGACCGGAGACACGGAGCTGGACACCGGGACTTTGACCGACAGCACCTCCATGTGGTCAACGAAGCTCATTGGCCAGTCAGTGGTGCTGAAAGAGAAAGGAGGGTTGGTGTTGTGGGGTTACTACCATCATGTCATTCGAATGAACTGTGCTTTAAAATAACACAACAGTTTGTAAAATGCTAATCCAGATGTTTTTGTGCTACCAATGTCTTTATAGAAGTCAGAGGGGATCTCTTGCGACAAATTGTCCCAAGCTCAATTCACCTAGTGCTTCTTTTGGCAACAATCATCCCAAATAAAGTTAAATAAAAGGGTTGAAGACAACAAGACTTTAAGTGCTGCAAACATTCTTGTGTGAATATGCATTTTTAATGCAACATCTGTTGCCAGGGGATTATACCCAAGTGACGTGAGGCAAGTGGATGTGAAGTCTGTGGTGTAATACATGTCAGAAATGTCATTATTATTAGAGATGAGCAGATCGCCTCCAACATCATCCAAATAAATCATCCATCCCCCCACCCACCTGGAGTCATTATTTATCCAATTTAAAGATCCATATTGTGATGAGATATCACGCTAAAGTAGACTTTAATTAATTTAAACAATTTCTTTTTCATATATTTCTCACTAAATAAAATGTATTTAGATCTAAAGATTTTAATGAACATATTTATCGTTAAGGATTTATTATTTCAACCAGCTGCATCCCATCTGCTATCAATCAGAAATATCATCTGTATGACCTGGTCCTAACTGCAAATGACGGCGTTAATACCAGATCACTAACGGCTGACCTCACCTCACCTGTCCATGTTAGCCCCGCTGAACCGTACAGGATAGAAATGTTAAAGAGCGCCGGCTTACCTGGCATCCTTCAGCCACCTCTGGTCCATCTCCTCCTGCCAGCCCTCGGGGGGGCTCTCCTGCCAGGCGTTGAAGTACCGGATAATCCCCGGGTGCTCCAGCTTGGCCAGGGCCTTCACCTCTCGCATCACCTTCTCACGGGCCAGCTCCCTGTGTGACGAAAACTCAGATTCAGGGTTTCATTCACATTTAGGACACTTTATGGTTTAGGAGTTCAACACTTTTAGGATTTGTGTGTGGGAACAATGTAGAATTGTTGCATCACACTAACTCACTTTAACAGTATTAATTCCAAAAGGCTCGATAAAAGATATCAACAAAAACAATGGGAATACAAAAAAAGTGATATACTTTATGTTCTAGTCAAAAAAGGGCTAAAATGAAAATAAATACAGAGCTGCTGTGGCCAAACACTACATGTTCACGCTTGTCAGTTTAAATATAAATACATGGCTAATATTGATACAGAAGTGTCAGTGCCTCTGTGTGTGGATAAGCAGGTTCCCGCTTACATAACTCAGTGTAAGGGCTTTAAAGAACAGAGAGATGAAGGAAGAGCTAATAGCCTGCAGCGGGGAGGTCTGTGGTAACCGGCGAGAGGCGCTACCTGTTGGGTAGACGGATTCTTTTGATGGCGTAGTTGCAGTCGTCCACTTGGTTGCGGGCTTCAAACACAACGCCGAACCCCCCGCGGCCAAGGCACTGCACCGGCTCAAAGTCAGTCAGGTACCTGGGGAGAAGACACTTTGGTTGTTAATGGGCATTGAAGAATCACTCTGATCCAGGTGGAAGAAAGCAGCTGTGTCATCACCTACATTCCTGACAATTCAAAAGACCTGGTCAAATATAATTCACTGCGGTCACGGAGGCTTATTTAGTGGTAACAGGCTATTAAAAGGGAAGGAATTAATACCAGCCAAATCCCTGTAAAGGCTGGCAGGTAACCAACTCAGAGCTCAACAGTTTAACTAATTAAAAAAAATTGCAGTGCTGACAGAAAAACACATGCCCGTCACTATTAAAAAGAAAATAACTTAAAAGATTAATAGACTTACAAAGCTTGCAAAAATGGAGGGAAGATGATTCGAGTATTAACCAAACCATTTTTTATTTATTATTATGTATTACATTTTTTTACTTTTTTTAATAAACATGGTGTGCGAGTTTTTTTATAATTCTTCAACACAAAAAAAAAAATCTTTGCTATGTTATATTTTCAAACATTCTCAAAACAGAAGAAAAAAAATATATAATACAATATAATATATATAAAAAAGGCTGTGGAAAACCATTCATCCTCAGTACTCAGTACAGCTCCTCCTTTTGAAATAAAGATGGATTGTTTTTTATTTTACAACAGCTAGACGGACACTACTGAGACATTGGAAGAAAAAGCACCCGTCCACTCAAAGAATGGGCTACAACAATGGCTCTATAGCTGCTGCAGTGTAACTAATGCACTGCTGGGCTTACCCCTGGAGAAGATGAGGGTTCGGTTTTATCAATTCCATTTACTCATATTTTGTACATGCATTTAATGAAGGTTTAACGCATTTTCATGAGCATTGTTGTACTGTAAGCATGTTATATTGAGGTTAGTTGTCTCGGGATGCCGTGGTCTAAAATAAGGTTTGGGGAACTGCTGCTCTACAAACTGTCTCAGCCTCCCTCCTCGGGCTCCTCTGGGGATTGAGGGCTGTCTTATTAGAACATATGTGATTCAGGCCGTGGTTCCTGATCTCTATCTCCAGCCTGACGATCCTGACTCACGGCGGCCTCAGCTGTTGCAACAGCTTCACTTCTATTTTGGGAAACTTCTTTGGCGAGAGACATTTGCATTTATTTCAGCTGCAGGAAAGGGGAGGGTGAGTGTTTGCCATTTTGGGGTGGATCCAATGAAACGATGTGCAGGTGTTGACAACAGCAGGGGGGAAAAAGCAGTTTAATCAGATTCTTTCTTGCGTTTAGGGCGGGGCGGGGGGAGAGCAGAATTTCAGCTAAAGATTGTCAACATGCAAACTCCATCGATCACTCGACAGGAGGTCAGTGACAACCCATAAATAACGGCTACTGATCATATCTGGGGTGTCCAAAATAACAAACAAAAACTCCGGACGATGTGCTGACAGTGATGTAAAGTGACACCGGCCCCGTGGCAGATGCTGCTGGGTGGGGTCTGCGGGGGCCAAGGTCATTTTCATTTGATGGCAAACAGCTGAGTTATCCAATCATGCTCAACTACAACTCGTATCTCCGATCTCTGCCTGGAAGACCGGTGGTCACCATGGTAACAGTGCCCAGTCTTACCTTGTTAGAGTGAGTAACTTTAAAGCGTGAGGATATCAGTTCCTCTGCTTTGTCACATTCTCCTGAGTCATGAGAGAAACATGTATTTACATGTGGGGTTTCTTTCAGCATCACAGCGTGCTGATGATTTACCTGGACACATATTCGCTGGAACGGGTCTCCATAGCAACTGGCTCTTTGGATTCCACAACATCAAGGTCAAACTTGCAGTCTGTCTGGCACTGCGTCTCCGACTCCTTACGTTGCTTTTTAGGGGCAGAAGCAGGACAGGAAGGACACAATATGTTAACTAGTTGTCTATGAAAGAAACAATAATCTCTCTTTGACTATTTGTGCAAATATTTCCCCATCAGGAAGCCATTATCCTTACCGAATAACAATCATGATCACAAATCTTGAATCTTTTATTTTGAGATTCGTTTGAGTCAGAGAAGAAAATCAAATGTATTTGAGTACATTTTTTTATCATCATACTTTTGAAATTCAATTTTCAATTAAAGAAAAGTTACAAAATTGTTTGTGCATCTTTGCTTCAATAATCATCATGCATGGTCTCATATGTGTAAGCTGTTTGGAATACTCCAACCTGGTTAAAATGGTTGCTCACTGTGTCTAACATTAACATTACATGACAACCTAAGAACAACCAGCAGCAGTCACTGTCTGTATGTGGGTCTCGTGCAGGCTGTGTCTGTGGTCTTACCCTCACATAGGCCACCGGGGCGGGGGGGTGGAAGAATTTTCGGACGATATAAGTGGTGGTGGCGATGCATAAGATGATGGTGCCGAGGATCTCCTTCCACCATGGCAGCAGCAGCACGGGGTCCTTCCTCCTACGACTCTCTCCTCCCGCCCCGTCTTTATTTATAATGATTATGGCACTGTCACGTTTCCCCCGGTAACGCTTGGTGTAGGGGAAGTAGTAACCGTTATCTACAGAGAGGAAAAGTCAAAATAAGTTGGATTTTCTTCACTTTGTCCCTCTCATCCAATTCACTTTTTTAGGTGCCAATACAGTATGTCTTTGTGTTTGAGACTTGAACACTTTTGTCCATTTGCCTATCAGTTTGTTAACGAAACGGACAGAGCCGGCGTTTTCCCCCTAAAAGTGACTTTTAATGGTGGCTTTTGCGTTTAAATGATGGGTGCCATCATTACCCAGGCCCCCCGACACAATGCACACAGCCTGGAGCACGGCTCCTCGTTTTCACAACTTTGTCATTTGCCTAGCAGTTTGTTAACGAAACGGACGGAACCACTGTTTTCCCCCTAAAAGTGATTTTTAATGGTGGAGTGATTTTTAATGGTGGCCTTTGCGTTTAAATGATGGGTGCTATCATTCACATGGCCCCCTGACACAATGCACATAGTCTGGAGCTCACTGGGTACCTGCATATGCTTTAATCACACTTTTGTCCATTTGCCTATCAGTTTGTTAACCAAACGGACGGAACCACTGTTTTCCCCCTAAAAGTGATTTTTAATGGTGGCTTTTGCGTTTAAATGATGGGTGCTATCATTCAAAGGCCACGATTAAAAATCACTTTTAGGGGGAAAACGCCGGCTCTGTCCGTTTGGTTAACAAACTGATGGGCAAATGGACAAAAGTGTGATTAAAGCATCATGCAGGACCCCAGTGAGCTCCAGACTATGTGCATTGTGTTAAGGGACCCTGTGAATGACAGCACCCGACAGTATTAGGCTCTTACCATATGGATACTGAAGGATGGACAGGGCTCCGTTGCTGTATTCTTCATGGGAGAACTTGTCATTATTCAGACACTTGTCGAATTCATCAGAGCCGACCAGGGCTGGTGTCCGTGATGGGGAATCTGTGTCAAGGACAACATGAATGAGTTCTCAAAAGGTCAGACTAATAATCGCAGGATAGTCATACATGAAGGGAAATGATGAAAACACTACTAATTTATTCAAATGTGTTGAAAGACAAATAATAATCCAGTGTTTGGGGACTTTTTCAATCTACGTTGCCCACACAAACTGAATTTAGCCAATACTTATGCAAAAGGAGGTTTACTTACGGATGAGAGGCTTCCACTTGACCGTGGGTAGTGGAATTATGTCCGATCCGATAGCTTTGGAAGGGAACTTTTCACTGATCCTCACTGAGGACTGGAGGTAAAGCTGTCCCTGGTACATTCCTGAGGAAACAAATGCAAAGGAATTGTATTTAATCATAAACAACTGTCACAGAAATAGGAAATATTGCAACCACACATTAGGAATAAGCACAAGCATGCAGTGTATGCATTTACCAAGGTAAACACTGGACTCTTCATCTCCTCTTGCCCTCTTTGTCTCCTCATCCTCGTCGTCATCCATTTCCGACTGGCTGCTGTAGGCGTTGTCGTCAAACAGGGCGATGGGTGTGACTTTACCCCCGCCCACCAGCCAAGCCGAAGCGATGGGTGTGCAGAACTACGGGACACAGGGGATGCGGAGTTGATTAAGCACAACATTTAACTTATTTTGAGCAAATACACCACAAGCCTAGTTTAAATGGCACTGAACCCAGATGAAGAGGTGTTCCTCTCACCTGACGTTCCCAGACCAGCTGTCCGTCAGGCTCCGTGCTGAAGGCCATGACCTTCCAATCAGGAACAGACACTTTGATGACGACGTCCAGGTTTTGGTTCTGCTGGTTCTTCGTCTGCTCTCTCTCTTTTGGTTCATCGGTGATGACTCGCTGACTCTCCCTCCAGTCGCCATTAGCAACCTCTCCCTCCAGGAAGTTCATCCCAGACGTCTCAGGGAGGAGCTTCAGCTCGAAGTTTCCAACGCTGAAGTTCCACCTGGGGTAAGCAGTGATAGTACACAACTTAATAAACAAACTAAATAACACCTTCTTAAATATCTATATTTGATACCATTAGTGATTCCATATTGATGCAACATTGAGGGCATGAAATGTTTTATTTAAAGATAAAAAGTGGTGGTATATCAACTTGCTATGAGAAGAGAGAGCAGAAAAAGCAACTGGTACCAGTGAATAATAATAATAATGCAAAAAAATGTGTTTAAATATACATTATTGGTATAAATAGTCTACTTTATTTAGTTTAAAACACGACAATGTAAACAAAAGTAATATATGAAATTAGCCACCGCCTGCTGAGAGGCAGATGGTAGAAATATTGTCAAACAAATAAAGTATAATACTTCATGTTCAGATTTCAAATTGGTGTGAAACAGAGGAAACTAGATGGAATAATATAATAAGAACTATCTGGTCAGTGTGGTAAAGCAACAGGAAAAAAAACTTCCAGTGGATAAAAGGTTAACTGACTTTATTTAAGACCTTTGACAGGAAGTCAAGGGGGTGCCTGTTGCCCTTTGTGGAGCAGCACACACGATACAGTATCTGCTGTCACATTCCCTGACTGACAGTGACAGGCTGATTGACTGATTGAATAAAACTCACTTCTCCATCCCTGATAGGGGCCTGATGGCTCGCACTGTCTTTTGAGTACGCTGCAGGAGGAGCACGTCTTCGCTCACCATCTCCTCCTCCCCCCAGCGACTGCAGCCAACCGCAGAGCAGATGTACCGAAGCTGAGGCAAAAGAACATGAGGGGGGTTATTATACCGGGTAACGACACGTTGTTTACTATAACTCACAATGTTAGTAAGAGTGGGAACATACCATTAAATGATTTAAAATGCACGTAGCACAAGCTTTAATTAAAGTCATTTCACTGACCTTGCCACTGTATGCCCCCAGGCCATAGGTGGTGAGAGATTTGCCCCCTACCAGGACGGTATCCTCCCCGATCCGGTAAGATGAATCCAGCAGGGACTCCACGCTGAAAGGCACGGCCTCCATACTCTCCCTGTCCCGGTTCCACTGGAACAAGGCACCGTCCAGTGAAGGGATGATCATCTTATTGCCAAACACCTGCAGGGACAAACAGGTGGGATTTTAAGAGTTGGTTACTGACGTGTCAAATATGAGTTGATGTTTATGCGCTGGAAAAGAAATTAGCATTGACAGAAGAAATGGTACGGATTTGGCAGATTGACGTTCAACATGCCAAGATTTTTTTAATTTGCATCTTGGTAATAATTTTTTTTAAAGAAAGGCATGTGCAGGGTCAAATGGGTCGAACCATGGACCCTCTTCCCCAGCTAAATCTGGCAGGTTCGCTAGCTTTTGTTTAACTACTTGTTAGCGTTATTGTTATTTTTCAGTATTCTGCTTAATTGCGACACAATGCTTGTTTGCTTAAAATAAATGATAAAACAATTTAAAGTTTAGCTGAACACAAAAGGAACCAATAAAAAAAGGAGGTTAGCAAAGTGTAATCTTATGACTAACTGTGTTTATTTTTGCAAGTTTACATTGTAATGACAATAAAAAAAACTAATACAGTGCATCCCGACTTTTCCATTTATTACTTTGTTCTGATTCAATGTTTTTTAACACACACCAAACCTCCTGGAATATTTCAACAGTTTCAAAAAGTCGTTTTTTTTGGGCACAGACAGACAATCGTTAAAAGCCCTTGAAATCTTGCACACACACACAACAGTGTCCGACACACATCAGCCCACAATGCAGCAGCTTTAGCCTCCTTTAGACCATTACACATCTAAGAGCCTAAGTAATTAACCTGGGTATTTAAAAAAACCTTGGTGTGTGTGTGTGTGTGTTTCTGTGTGTACTATCAGTCGCTCACGGCAGGGGGGCAGCGAGGATGACATCATTGCAAAAAGCTGAGCCTAATCCCGATTCAACCTTCACAGCTTTAGTTCATCTGCTAACAACAATTACAGACTGTCAGAGATCAAGTTGTGACTCATTGTTTTCAACAAGATGCTCAGTGACCTAAAAGTGGAATTTGATATATAAGTGAATCCTTGTTGGCTTTGCACGATAGTTTATTAGGTAACTAGGTGAACACTATCAGGTTTTCTTTTGTATTGTCTTCTACTCATTTGATTGTTCAGAATATTGTTAAGAATATTCATTGCTTCTTAAAAAAGGCTGAACTTGCATTTTTCTTTTATTATTTTATCATTATAACAGAGGCTTTGAAAATTATATAAAAAATTACAACATTTATCCGAAATATTTATGGGACAATATTATATATTTTTTAAGTAGTTATGACCAATCCATTGTATTGTTAATACTTTCAAAAGATGCTGATGGTGTCAAAGCAGCGACCTGTAAAGCACCTTGTTTCAGACATCCTATCAGAGCCTGAAAGTTTAGTTGCTTTGTGGTGAATTAAAAAATGCCAGGAAGGAGAAATGTGGCAGAATGATTTATTAGGAGAGCAGAGCCAAGAGCAGAGGTGATGTCATCGTTTTAGAGGGGAGGGGGGTGGTGGTTTGGAGACAAGAGGAGGATAAATTTAGCAAGTGAAAGGAGGAGGGGTTGACGGGCTGACCATCACATCACACCATGCTGGTTGGCTGTGGGGGAGCAAAGAGGTTTACAGCAGAGGGGAACTTCTCAAAGCTGTGGGTGAGTCATCCTGCTCCTGATGCCTTAATCCATGACTCTGATCCAGCACCAGTTACCCAGCATCCCTTCTGTCAGCTGCTCCTGCCACACCACGCCATCCACACCACGTCCCCAGCAGACATATGTACCGTCAATGTTCAATTCCACTAATTTCTGCACGGACTAACAGACGTGATGCCCTTCGAAATCTCTAGATCAGCAGATAGCGTAACTAAGAAAAAACATAATTTCTCAAAAGCGAATTAGATTTAGTAAAGTAGATCACACCGTCACATCACATATTTGAAGTCAGGAAGGCATATTTGGTTAATTTGTAATATTGTCTTTGTTATGACTAAGTTAAGAGGGCCTTGAAATCTATGAGAACTCTTCGCAGTGTAATAAGAGTCTATTGAGCTGTGGCATGTGGTATTTAAGAGCTGTCAAAATATCTGAAATTGCTTTGACATATAGTGACAGCTCTTGAATCATAGAGTAACCGCCGGTCTTTATGAATGTCATCAAAGAAGGCACTTAAGGTAAGCGATTGAAAGTGGCCAAGTAAAGATAAGACAGGGATGACTTCTTCAGTTAAATATTGTGATGCCAATTATTTTCCACCTGCCCCAATATGTTATTTACCAATTAAAATAAAGCAAATAGAAACCCCCCTAGCCATTACATACAGTTCATTCAAATGTAAATCTATAAGTATGTTATTTTAAATGCGTGGCTTCATAGCATCACAGAAAAATCTAGGTTTCAGCTAAATTACTTATTTTTGTAAACCCTTTCTTGCTCATATGTAAACAACCCCATCAAAGCATATAAAGGTATCCTTTGATGAGCTGTGAATGAAATTATAATCAACGTCCCACCCCTCTATCTCTTTGTCTCATTTGTTTTCATCAAATGTGTGTTTACCCTCGTTCTTGTTTTGTTTTTAAAGGGTTTGTGTACAGTAGGTGTCATACTTTTGGTAGATCTTGAAAAGCACAATAATGTTTTTTAAAGAAAACCGGCTTACATTTTTGAGAACAATATAACATTCTAAAGAGTTTATCACTTAAAATAATATTCTAAATTATTAATTAAACTGACTGCTGAGCAAAACCAGTTTCCTTTTTCTTTGAATTGCCAATGTCTAATTCATTTTTTAGGAGCTTCAGTCAAGTCTTACCCTCTTTCCTTTTTTCAATGTGTGGATCCATGCCCCTTTTTACGAAGAGATCCACTATCAAACTGAGAACAGTCATATTTGTATCCATGTAGGGAGCATACAGGGTGTGTTTTCATTGTGTAAGGTCAGGCCCCTGTTTAACATGTGTGATTTTACACTTCGCAGCAACTAATACTATAAGTGCATTGTGCTATGAGGATTATTGGTTTATCTATATTTAATAGTATACAGTTTAATGGAGGCTCATTTAAGTGTGCTGGAGAGCTTAATGAGCATTTGATATTAGTTATTTTGCGGTTGTATCTAAGTTTTGGGAATTGTGGGGGTGTAGGGTCAGAGAGTGGTCTGGCGGTGGTGTGTCTGTGTGTGTGTTGTTGCGGACGCCCCAGCGATCCTGTCAAACAGTGTCATCTATCACCCGCCGCAAATGTGGCACTGTTGGCCCACAAGGCTACTGCTTAGGGCTGCTCAATTAATCCTATTTTAATCGCGATTACGATGGCTTGCAACGATTACGAAAACAACGTAATCGAAATAAAACGATTATTTTTTTATTATTATTATTACTTTTTTTTTTTTTTTTTTAAATAATAAAAAAAAAATTGGGGGGTTTTCAGTTGAATTATACTTAAAGTTCAGGGTAATCAACTGTTAAATACATACTGTTCAACATTTTTTTCTCCAATAAATGGATGTTTTCAAAGTCAATGAATAATCGCATTTAATAATCGCAATTACAATTATTGACCCAAATAATCGAGATTATGATTTTTGCCATAATTGAGCAGCCCTACTATTGCTCTACTTAAAGGTGGCAGACAGAGTGAGAGCAGGAGAGAGAAACAGAGATGGTGATGCTGGTGGTTGGAGAATAACAGAAAAAACACAAAAAAGCCCAATAAAAATAAAATCAGAAAAGCCGGAATAACAGTTCGACTTTGTGCCAAAAATATCACCCGCCTGACATTTTTTATTTCCTTTATCAGCGCTGGAAGAATTATTGCTTGTCACATTATTCACAGCCCGGCTATTGATCGTAAGTCATTGTGTCGTGATCAATGGAATTCTCTCATCGTTCATTCATTCACACGGCATGCCAGCAGAGGTAAGCATGTGTGTGTATTGTCTGCTGTGTGATGACATCATCTCTGGTCTGAGGCATTACCTCACCTCCCCTAATCACCCTGCCTCCCCCCTTCTTTCTTCATCCCTCCAACCCCCCCACCCAACCTACCCCACCCGCCGGCATGACTCACTCCACGTTGGCACAGACTCCCCCCACTTTAACCCCCAGAGCGGATCCTTGCTTTTTGTAGTGATGGCTTTTTTTTCTGCAGACAATGCTGTTTGTGGATCTGCTGTCCCTCATTTCTCAAAAAGAAAAAAAAGACAACACACTAACACACTTGGTAGGATGCAGCAGGTGACTGGCTGTTTCCTCCCCGGCGCGTCGAGGCCAGCCAATGGCACGCCGTCAGAGCCCCCCTAGCCTCTAATCACCGAGCAGACTGGTGTCTCAGGGACCCGGCGTGCACCAATGAAACAGTTGCCAGGCGCTGAGGAGGCGTGGGAGGGGGAGTAGTAGCTAGTGGCGGTCACCCCCCCCTCCCCGCCACCATCACACATTTACACCAGACGTGCATTCCAGGATACGGAGGGCAGAGCTAAATTGAAACTTATATAAAGTAAATGAGCATAGAAATCACACACAAACAAACACACAGTCTGGGGATCATAACAAGTGACGTCACGGCGAGTCACCGGGTTCAGAGCTGACAGGCATCTCTCCTCGTTTCGCTCCGTCAACCAAATGAAAGCTAACAGGTGAAAATAGAAGAAGTCCAACAACACACACACACACACACTGAAACACACACATAATGGCACACACACACAGTCAGCATCTTCTGTCACAACACGAGCACACTGGAGGATGACAGGCGGATGTTACATGTGTGTCTGGTTATGAACATGTTGACACTCTTGTGAAGTCTGACACTGAGCACACACGTAAAGGAGAGGAAAACACAGTAATGTCCTCAGAGACTATAAAGCATGCTGTGCCAAGCAGGGACATAGAAATACTTTGTAAACATATTTTACTCATTTTTTTATCTAGTTGTTTCTAATTTCTCGTGTTATATATTTTTTTTTAAGGACTTTGTGTTACAAAGTAAATCAAAAAGGAGATTTACATTAGCATAAAAAATAACTGTTGGACCATATTTTTTATAGTAAATTCCTCAAAAGATTATTGTATTTTTTTTTTTTTAAACCAATTTCTTCCAGATGCTGACTTTTTTAAGACAAACATTTGCAGTGAGAAACTATGAGAAAATGTACTCATTTACTTTTGGAACTGTATCGTTTTTGCTATTTAGAAAAACTACTTACGACTTTGTTCAGTGGTGTCATAATTGTAGCTTTAACTTTTAATTCAATCAGAAAGGTTTGTTTTTACTGATATTTTTTACTTTCTACATTTCTGCTTGCTATCATAAGAGAAAAATCTGAATGTGTCCATGTTCTTTTGATTTGTCATAATCACATTTCTTATTGAGAATAAAAATGAAAACTGAAAAAATACACTTTGAATCTCTTTGAAGTCACTTTTTTCAGTAAAGTAAGAAAAACAGCCTTATATTTTACTCAGTGATCAAAAGTTGATTGCAGACTTTAATCAGACTACAGAGAATTGTGTTATCTTTCCACTGACAGCATGAGAGCCTCTAAATTCAAGGTCAAATTTACATTTCAATACATCATGGAGAAGCTATACTTGCTGTCAGAGTTTCTGCTCTATTCACTTCCAGTGCTTCAAGGCACCTTACGGGGTTCTCCCCAGCATAACCTCTGAGGAGTCTAGGAAAAAAAAAAGTTAATGAATTCCTTAAACATAACCCTTCTCACCCATCTGGAATCATGAAGCAAGATTTGTTTTTATTCTATCCCACATGGCAGCAGCTGATGTCAGTGATTCCTTCCTTCTAATTGCAGGTTTGCTGAATAGGGAGCGTAGCTGCTGTAGTGTAGAGCAGGGCTGAAAACACATGTTCAGGCTGAATGGCACACACTTCAGAACCCATTCACCCACTTATATGGGAGAACCTAAACACTTAATGGAGATTGTTCTATAGTGAGTAACTCTGAAGTGACTATATTTAGATTGCCTTGGATCAGATGAAAGAGCTTATTTTGTTCTTTCATTATAAACACATGTATAATGCTACTTTCTAAAGTCAAGCGCTCTTTTTTTTTTTATTATTGAATTTCTACATCCCAGGATCTGTCAACCAAACAGTCTGGTGTCTGTGTTACCCAGCACCAATTGAATGAAACAATCAATCTACATCTGTGGGAAACAAATCCAAAGAAATCCTTCGAACCAGTCTTAATTTTGGGGAAAACCCACCTGTCAAAAGGTATTAAGCTTCATGGACTGGCTAAGATATGTTTTCTATTGTTGTACCGCACTAATAAAGCAGAAACGTATTTAACTGACAGAGCCAGAGAGTTCATTACGCACCAACACGCCTCACCAGCACAGCGGACCAACAATAAACTGATCTCAGCAGCCTCCCAGACCCTTGTTAGTATCAGAGGCTTTCTCCCTGAGGCAGAACTCTCACACAGTCCACATCAAAGTACAGCACAGGCACGTCTCTCGTATGCATCTCAGAGAGCAGTGCTCTGGGCGCCTTCAGCATGTCGGTGTGGGCGGTTTAAGCTTCTGTATACATGTACAGACGAGGGGCTTGCTGTGCGTGTGTGTGTGTAAACCACTACAGTCAACAAAGAGGCTTATCCTCCAGGCGGAACAACCACGCTCAGATTCATGTGGGGGTGTGCAGTATGTCTGCCATGTGTCTAAATGAAACGAATGTAAGCAACAGCAACCCTTGGTTGACTTTTCAAAGTGCACCGAGTTCAAATGTTGGTCCTACTCTCTACAGAAAGACAGCCAGGGGGGACAGGGTTTGTTCTGAGGCAGACTCAGATGAGACCGCATCCTTAACCTCACAATCGAATGTCAAGACTCTGGAAATGGTCTTTTTCATCTAGTGGTGCCGGGTCTTAATCAGCTGAACCATGTCTGTTTGACCTGCGGAACGGACTGTGGTTGACTCAGTCATTTATATTAAAGTGAAATGGATTTGTATTCATAGGAGGACTGCACAACTTTATTTTAAGTATTAATCTTGTGATCGTTGCTGCTGGACACAAAAGGACAACTTTCAAAAGTTTGCATGTACAATGACTTAAAGTTTGATCTACCTCAGGTTTGCTGATGCTGGATGACAGAAGGCACCCTGAGGCGACATCTAGGTCCCACTGCTTCCTGCCCTGGTTGTGAGGATCCAGAGCAGAGATCCGCCCGTCCAGGGTACTGATGATGACCAGAGACCTGAGGACACAACACAAATACTTCAGCACACTCTCCAAAAAGAGTTTGTTTACCATTATTGCAGCTTTTTTACATACTGGAATAAAATACATCCTTTTCAGCTCTGGGCACCAATGATATATTTAATTTGTTTAAAGACCGGACTGTAAAGGGTGATGAATAGCTAAGTGGTGCTGCAGATGTTGTCTTTCTCTCTCTATTCCTCAACCTTGTTTAAATTCAGGGTGACCTTCAACTGGAGCCAACAGCACACCTGTGCCATGACAGCCCCCATCCTGTCAGCCAGTGTGGGTGGCATGTTGATTAAGGAACGGACCAGACCGGAGGATTATCCAACGGGACAAGGCACACGGAGAAACTTATTACCATAACGACAGAGATTGTTGTTAGTTAACCACAGAAGAATCCATCCCAAAAACACCCCTGTTCATTTATGCTGTAATTTGCACAGGGTACTATAACTGAACTGTTGGATGAAGAGACATAGGTAACAAGGACCTTGATATCTGAGTTTAGGAAAATAGAAATAGATAAACTCAATTTATAAATCATACTCAGTCAATCGCAGCACGTCTTACTATTTTTAATGTTATCTTGCAGGGTCTAAAACTGATTAAGTTCAACACAGAAAGCGCACTTAAACCACTGGGACTGATTTAAAAAAACTATCTAAACAATTCAATAGAAAGATGATGAAAGTGGATTTTATTTGTTTTTACAAGTATTACAAATTCTGTGCTTTTCTTTTTTTCTTTTCTTGTAATCCCGTCTTTTCCGGGGTTTGTGCTCCTCGGGTAGAAGAAGAGCAAACTAACGCTGCTCTGAACAGATGGTAGCAGCAAGTGTTAAGAGTCCACAGGGGGATTTGACATGGATACTTTTCCCATGCTTAAAATCGTTACTACAACGTAAACATTAGGCTCATTTACATGTAAAACCTCATAAATAATTGATGTGTAAACAAAGCCTGTCTTTCTATTCAGAGTCCATGGAATCATTTCTGTGACATTTCCGATTATTCTAGGCTTTCTTCTTGGCTTGTGCTAACACTGGCAGAAAATAAGTGTTGATAAATATTGGCTTGAGTGCCCAAGATGACAGCTCAGAGAAAAACCATATCAGCGCTGAAAACAACGGAGCGATGGATAATTTCACTTTCACAGTTTACGCACAACACAAATAAAACCTGGTCGGATATAAGGGAAAATGTTTGGCCACCACTGGCAAATCACATTAAGTCCTCCATATGTTATGTCAAAATAATATTTAATTCAGAGGAATTGTTGGCAGAGACACAGTGGGGAGCTAAAAATAACAGGCAGGGAGTGAACGTGTTTTTCTTTGAGATGATGAATGGGCTGCAGATTTCTCAGAGCACCAGTGCGCTTTACTTCTGAGGAAATTTAAATTATTATGGTGAGGAATTTTTACATTTTACCCCCCAACCCCATTAATTATGTAGCTCTACAAAAACATTTACTTACTAAAGGGTTTTTTCTCCTTGATTAGTAAAGTACAAATGCTCCAAATGAGTTTTTTATTTGCCCACACAGCAAGATTTCTTAGCAGTTCTTCCTTTCGTCTAGTATCTCCAGGCTAACACAGTCTGAGTGGAAGGGATAGAGACATCCAGCCCCACCCTTCGCCTTACTCTTAGGGTTCTGCCGCATTGCTTGTCAATCATGAGTTGAGGCCACCTCCTGACTATTGATTTGTATCTGTCTAGTGATGCTGTCAATGGGGCTTTTAACACACACACACACACACACACACACACACACACACACACACACACACACACACACACACACACACACACAGAGAGATAACAGGGCGAGGGTATGTCCAGTGTTAGATAATGCTATGGGATTATGCTCATCTCATTACACAGTAAACCGGGGTAGAAGGTAAAGAGACCAACCCTTCACCAAGCAGTAGGCCGGGGCCTGGTGTGGTAGTAAGGAACATATCTATGTAATTTGAACATAGTTACGGATAAACTAGTAATAATGGGTTTGTGGATATAGATTTGATTCACAAATCATGTTGATACAACTGCCTCAGATTGTAAAATGAGATATTGACATATTTAACTTGATATTGTGAAAATGAAGGAGCGGAATAATCCAACTACACCTCCTAATTGGATTAGCTCAGCAGATTTGAATCACAAAGTGGATAATGTTGGTGAGTAAAGGTCATTTGAACAGCCCGTATACTGAACATTAACTCTCACAGTCCTGGATGTGTCCCACTGTGTTCATGTACCATAGCTTGTTGTCAAATAATGATCACAACAGCTTATTTTCCCGATTCACAAGTAGTTTGTGTTTTCCGCCACTAGATGGCAGCAGTCGACCACTCACCTCCTGCACGTTGTTTTTGGAGAAGACCTCAGGGAAGCGCAGGGCTCGCACCTCTGTCAGCGTCTGGAAGAAAGGATGTAAACACCTGTGAGTGGAGCTGTGCCGGCGGATAATCAGAGCCTTTGTTAGCGAGACAAAGAAGTCCCGGTCGATGGCACACACAAGGGCAAAGAAACCATTTATACCGACAACAAAGATCATTCAAATGACAACAGTGATTATGTGTTACAGTTTCCCCAACAGATTTCTCAGACGATACAGAATAATTAACGGGATAAAGGAGCAGACAGAAAGATAAACTGCCTCATTAGGAAGCCTCCCTCTTCTCCAGATGAACAAATAGCAGCAGCAGGGATTCTACTGAAGGCAAAAATGGGATGATATCCTTTTATATTTGCAGTCAGTTTGGTCGTTTTAATTGCTTCTCTATTTTAAACTCAGTTTGGGTAAATATTACTTACAACACAAATGTATACAAGAAACACATTTGCTTTTGTTTAATGACCCCGTTGTCAGTTCAGACCTCCCTTTGATGCGTCTTGCTTTGCCTACAAAGCCTTTTGTTGTTATTAATGTGATTTTCATTGAGTTAATGTTTCACAAACCAATCTGCAACCCTGTATTAGACAGGCAAATACAATCACGAACAAATAGATTTAAATGGACTAAAGCACTCATTTGCTTGGCAGTTACAAGCCTTTTAGCGAAATACGAGGAGAAGAAAGTGAAGTCAAATTAGGACGTCGTTATGTGCCGCGTGTTTGTGACTCACCCTTACTCTCTCCATCTGGGTCCTGAAGGGATACAGCAGCTCAAACAGGATCAGACCCAGAGAGTAAATGTCCACTTTGTGAGAGTACGAGTTTCCAGAGAGCTGCCGGGACAAAAAGGAAAAAGATGCAATATGAGATTTTAAGTCTCGAAGAAGCAAGAAAGTCATTTAGCTTTTTTTTCTGTTGTCTTTTTTCATTTTCAGATTGAAAGACAAGCAAAAACATCATTACAAAACGAAATAGTTAAATACAAACTAAATCGACAGACATGATAATAATTCAATTCAAGTTTCAGTTTATACAAATACAAACACATAATGGTAATGGTAATAATGCAATGGTTTTTCCTCACAGTTAAATGCGATCATAAAATGCACAATAGGATCCCAGATCAAATGAAAGGCCTCTTGTTGTCCTTTAAGAATTTAATGTCATTTTCTCCAAATAGAGGAAGGAAGACATCTCCCTGATCCACTGGCCCACTGTGGCCTCATTACATGTTTCCAAGATGAAGCTATGTAAGCACATAGTCTTGTCTTTGCTCACCTGTTCTGGGCTCATGTACAGCTTGGTGCCGACCTGGCCCGTGTGCCGGGTCAGGAGCGGGGCCGGCGTCAGGGCGCTCGGCTCGTCCTCGTCTTCCTCCTGGTCCATGGCCGTCACCAGGCCGAAGTCTCCCACCTTCACCACGTCGTCCAGAGTGAAGAAGATGTTGGAGGGCTGGAGAAACCAAGGGGACGACAGGTTATGAAAGATGTACCAAACATTAAACATGAAGGCAGAAAGCATTACTAATGCATGGACCAGTACGCACCGTCAGTCACTCAACAATATCCATGGTGCTATTACTTTGTTTTAAGAAGATTTAACACAATTTATTGAACTGCTCTTATACATATAGACTTCTGCCTGTATAGTGGACAGTGTGAGGTGTGTGTGTGTGTGTGTGTGTGTGTGTGTGTGTGTGTGTGTGTGTGTGTGTGTGTGTGTGTGTGTGTTCACCTTGAGGTCTCTGTGCATGAGCCCCTTGCTGTGCAGGAAGTCGACAGCCTCAGCGATCTGGAGGAAGATGTCCAGACACTGGTTGTGCTCCCTCTGCTCCGGGAGGCAGCGCTGAGCCATCCAGTCCTTCAGGTTCTCCTTCCTGCAGAGCTGCATCTGGATGTACAGGTACACCTGGAGACAGGACCACAAGGTTTCAGTACTACATAAAAGAAGTTTGTTTTCCTTATTAGGATAATGTAGATGAAGTTGTTTGTCCCAAATGATAGCTGGTGCAATTTTGAGCAAAAAGGCTAATATTTGTTTTAATTATGAAAATGTCTGTTTAATAATGAATACTCTGACTAATGTGTCATTGCTAATTTGAACAAAACACGTGAACATCAACAGCTACCATTATTTATCTTTAAAATTGGTCAAAAGAAAACATTCTCCTTGAGATAAAGAATACTTGTAACTAGTATTCCTGCGGATACAATAGTATTGATTACCGTAATTTTCGGACTATAAACCGCGCCTTTTTTCCCATTATTCGACGCTGCGGTTTATATAACGGTGCGGCTAATCTATGGATTTGTACAGCTAACGGCCACTAGGGGACCTCCTAAATCTATGGATTTTACAGGTTACAGTCCACCACCTTTAACTCTATGGGCTCTATGGCCGCTCCGCGCCCCCCACCTTTAAGCGGGTAGTCCAAAGCAATATGTTAGGTTTTGATTACATTTAACCCAATTCACGTTTACCAACAGTGTCAAACTTACGCCTAGAATTTACGGTACATCATCCTAGGTATGTTAACTATTCCGGAGAACAACCAGAAATCCTAAAGACAATAAAAGAGTTTATCTCCTTTTTCCTCCTTAGAGGGACCTAGGGTACCCGGTACACCGGAAAATGACAAAGCGTTCTACTCGCATACATTCCGGTGTATATTACAGACAGAAACAGTGACAAGACCAGTATGACGCAACCCACGGCTGGACCGGGCCACGGCCCATTCCTCTCCGCGCGCCCGTCCAGCAGACACAGACAGAAGGAGGACAAGGTACCGGCAGTGGTCCGCGTCAAGGGGAAAGTGGTCAGCAGGTCCACTTTTTCTACAACGCGTCGACCCCTCCTTAGGGTCCCCTGTACCAAATACTTTTCTACAGTTTTGAAATTTGTACTTCCGTCTTCGAAAGATTACGTACCTGGTCAGCCGAGCAGTCAGTGAGTTGTTAAGGTACCACGAGAGAAACAAACAATTTTTCTTCCTAATTGTAAATAACTGAACAAATATGGTATATCCTGAAGACGGAATATCACTGTCACACTCCACACACACTCACACACACACACACAACACACCACACACACAACACACACCACACCACACACACACACACACACACAGTGAACTCCAAGACACGTAAACCTCGGGGACGACACGTCCTCAGGCTGCGGAGCGCAGACCTCTTCTACCAGGTCGTGACCAACACAGGGAAACGAGGCCTCCGTCGAGCACCGGGTAGGCAGGAGTCCAAGAGGAAGGCGTCTCGACTAAGACCTACATGTCATGTGACCTGTCCCGTGTTTCCAAAGTCATGTGATTTCTTTCAACAAAGAATAATCCATTACATCACTTAACAAACAGGGTTCTACTACGACACCACGTTAAACTGCCGTCTTTCCGATATAACAAGAATTAAAACTTTTACCCAGACAAAATATTACCATGAGACGTGATTACAGGCAGTAACGATTAACCGTTGGCACTTGAGGGGTTTGTCATTGGAATAAATAGAAATTTTACAGTTTTCTTTTGAGAGGAACTTATTTCTTATAACATTATCATAAAGGACGCCAGTTATCATACAAGGCATTAAAAGCCCTGATATTCCAGGCGACGGAAAAAGGAATAAGCTGCGCAACGCGAAAGGAAATGCCAAATATTGGCCACGCCGATAAACCTAAAATTCGATTGCCGGTGATCCCTGAGATTAGATACCTAAAAGTCCAATGGTCAGTGGTGGAAATAGATACCCGAGATACCGCCAGGCGCGGGGGGGCGTAATTCTAGGCTCAAGGTCGTCCTTTCGACCCGGCTTTCTCACTCTGTCCATCCGCGGTTCATTTCACCTGGCTCTACCAGGCCGCAGGTTTTGCCCTCGGTTCTGTCTGTTTGTATGCTCTACTTTCAAACAAGCCATGGTGAACCAACAATTTGATATGACGACATCCGATGCGGCCATGCACGCGGACCCCGTAAAATCAACTTTTTAATCCAAACACACATCGCGATACACTAGGGGTCATGGGTCAAAGCGGTCAAGACAAAAGAATTACCATTTGGAAACTAGCAAATACGTTATACTGAACAAACGAACTACAATTATTACCCTCAAGGGGAGTTGTAAAAAAGGGCATGAAAGGGGAGACACCGCCAAAAATGCTTAAAAAAACAAAAACAAATATCATAAGTTTAATTTTGACGGACCGAATATCGACCGCCGAGAGATATAACATGTGTAGGAAAGTTAAACACGACGGGGCGGAAAAAGGGTCACGCGGATAGTTCAGGCTTATGGGGCAATTAATATTATACTTCTTTTCTTATGCAACACTGTGCATATTTTTCTACACCGACACTCTAGTCGAAGGGTAACATTGACATATTACGGGACCGTACATGTCTTCGCGTCTGATCACCCACCCCGATCAAACCGTATTGCACAGTTCACACCACTCCTACAACTCACGTTATCCATCTGAGGCGTTTGTCACACATCGAACACACATTGTGACAGGACATAGTGCCTATCGCGAAGTCGTGTTCTGAAGTTGAAAGTTTTGAATTTGCACGCGAGGGTCGACGTTCATCGGCCGTCACATAGATGTCGTCACCAAAGTTGGTCACATGCCCTGTTTGAGAGCGCAGAGCATTACAAACAGACAGACGAAGAGCAAGACAGCAGAGCACGGAGAAGCCAAGGTGAAAATGAAACGGCGCGAGGACCAGAGTGAGAAAGCGGAGGTCGAAACGGAAC